CTCTTGTTCAGCAGCGGCTTGGTCGGCAGCAGCTTGGTCGGCAGCAGCACCCTTGTGCTTCTCCATTTGAGCCGCCTCTTGTTCAGCAGCGGCTTTCTGGTCAGCAGCAGCCTTGTGATCAGCAGCAGCTTGATCGTTAGCGGCACCCTTCTGTTTCTCCATCTGGGCGGCTTCCTGTTCAGCAGCAGCTTGATCGGCGGCAGCACCCTTCTGCTTCTCCATTTGAGCCGCCTCTTGTTCAGCGGCGGCTTGTTCAGCAGCGGCTTTCTGGTCAGCAGCAGCTTGATGATCGGCTCCCATAGTGGCATTGTTTGCTTGCCCTGCTGCGGCCTGCTCCATCTGAGCAGCCTCCTTCTCGGCCGCTGCCTTTTGATCGGTTGCAGCTTGGTCGGCTGCAGCCTTTTGGTCGGCCGCTGCCTTGTGATCAGCTGCCGCCTGCTCCTCTGCTGCCTTTTGCTCTGCTGCAGCTTTGTGATCTGCTGCAGCTTGCTCCTCTGCTGCTTTTTGGTCGGCCGCCGCCTTCTGCTCGGCCGCTGCCTTTTGGTCATCGGCAGCAGCAGCACCTTGCTGTGCCTGATCAGCTTCAGCGGCAGCCTGGTCGGCAGCCTTGTCTTGCTTCATGCCTCCAGCAGCAGCCTCGTCTTGCTGTGCCTGAGCATCCTCTGCTGCTTGTTTATCTTGGGCTTTGCTGAGTTAGTGAGATGTTTTTGAAGAGGAAGAGAGATATTATTACCTGCAGCGGCTTCCTGAGCGGCTTGATCTTTGGCGTTGTTCTTGCCATTTCCCTTGCCATTTCCCTGAGCTTGTTCTTCTTCTGCAGCAGCGGCAGCATCCTGTGCTGCCTGGTCTTTAGCGTTGCCATCAGCAGCAGCAGCATCTTCTGCATTAGCATTATCCTTAGCCATACTACCCCGTGCGGCCAAGAGCACACCGCGGAGCTTTAGGGCCTTTTCGCCAAACTTGTGCACAACCTCTTCTTCGCGACGACCAAAGTTCAGGTTGGCAATGGCCGCATCCTGGGCGCGAGCAGCGATTGCTGGTCCATTGCCTGCGAAAGGCGCTGGAGCCGCTGCCACAAAGGAAGCGGAAAGAATTGTGAGAAGGGGAACAGATGTCTTCATAATGACGGTATTCGGTTAAAGTTGAAGGATTGAAACGAGATGTGTCGAAATGTAAATTGAGCACAGCTCTTGAGAATCGAAGTGGAATAAAAAAAAATAAGTGCTCAGCACCAAGGAATGATCTGAAGGATGGAAGGTGAGCGTGATGTTGTAAGCTCCTAAGGGGATCAGGTTATATACAAACTTGGCTTTATGCACCATGTCGGCGTCCCTGAACAGAGAAGTGCTGAATATAGAACAAGCCGCGTTTGCTGAGATGGATGTTCATGGTCCTCCGAGCACATCACACATGGGTCGTTGGAGGATGCCTGGAGAGGGCCAGGCCTCAAAGAGGTCTGGTCGATCAGGCCCATAATTCTCTCACAGGAACAAGAGCTTAGCTTCCAGTTACAAGCCTAGATCATGTCTGCTATGGGATCGGGGCCGCGTCTTGGCTGTAAACGGTCGAATGAAAACGCATGAATAAGAAAATGGAATTGCGGATGAGAAGCGAGAAGCACGCCTGACGCCGGGGAGGCGGTCGTCATGCAGCGATGCGGCCTAGAAATCGAACGTGTACAGTTTGAGAGCTTGTTGCAGACAGAGCCGGGGGGGTATATGCGGAGAAAATATTGTCCTAAACGCATAAGTTTGGAGTTTGATGTATGACTGAGGTTTGGCGCCGTACGTGGGCCTGAATCTCAGCTGGTTTCAGGCCCACCGAGATGTGCCCGCTGCAAGTACATACCAAGAAGCTTCAAAAGTCTGGACGAGAAATGCTTTTTGAAAGAGATGGTATTGAAGGGGAATGATCTGGATACAGGCCATGCGTCCTCTGATTTCATTTACTAGTGTCCAGTCCATTGCCATTCTTTCGCTCTGCACTGGCGAAGGGGTACAAGAGACTAACGGGTTTCGCCTTTGTCGATTCAGGGGCATGCGATGCATATACGCAGTAGGTGATATGTCAAACAACTGCAACAGTTGCGCTCACAGTCTCTCGAGCAGTACGACAACAGCAGGATTCCCGCCCTGTAGCTGATCAGTTTTGTGGGTTCCATGGACCGCGTGGGCCCATTGTAGTTCACCAACGCGGCGGAGCGTCTCAGCCTTTGATGTTAACACGCCATGAGCCATACAGGAGTCGGGGGATCAACGCCTCGTTTCTGAACGTGTCGGTTACATGGTTAGAGATATACGCTGTAAATCAACCGCCACCGTGCTCATAGTCGGGTCGGTTGCACGTGTTTTGACAGGTGCTGAATGTGGAGAGCGGAGCGAAGGAATTACAAAGTGACGGGTGACAGGGTGACAGGAGCGCTGGCCAATGGCGTGCGCCCCGTTACAATCCCGCACCTAGCCTCTAGCCTCGGCTGCGACTTTTGGACATCGTCATTTTCGAAGTCTGGTCAAGGACGGCGCTGTTTTTTGGTGCCTCCGTCTCGTCGCCACCCGGACGGTTGAGTGCTGGCCAGTGGAGTGTAGCCAGTCACGCGTATACATACACAAGCTTTTAAGATCCAGTCCCTCTTCTCACCTGGATTCTCCACATCCATCAACGTTAAATGCCTGTCCAACACGCCGCAATGGCTACACGGTCCATCCCCGCGTCCATAACACGACGGCTGCTCACGACGTCGCAATCCACGCGCATAGCAACACGACCGATTGCATGCACGTCACCGCGTATACGAAGTGTGTCAGGATCCTGCCGCCCGGCACTCCAAATTGCCGGCCAAAGACGACCGTTTTGCACAACGCCACGCACACAATTGGCTGCGGTAGACGACACATTCGACCCCAAATCGATAGAGCGCGAATCTGATGAGGTCGATGTGCTCATTGTGGGTGGGGGCCCGGCCGGCCTGTCGGCGGCTATAAAGCTGAAGCAGCTTGCGACAGCGGCAGGCAATGAGGACTTCAGAGTGTTGGTGCTGGAAAAGGCTGGAGAGCTAGGTGATCATATTGTTTCAGGCAATGTCATTGAGCCTTCCGCTCTTGATGAGTTGCTACCAGACTGGAGATCGGAGGATAACCTGAACCGCTTCGCTGACATTACGCCTGCGAAGGAGGATCACATGTACTTCATGACCAGGGACCGCGCCATACCCCTCCCCAAGCCCCCGCAGATGAACAACCATGGCAACTTCATCATAAGCTTGAATCAGATGGTCAAGTGGCTCGGCGAACGAGCGGAAGAGGTTGGCGTAGAAGTCTACCCTGGGTTTGCTGCGTCCGAAGTGCTTTATAACCACGAAGGCGTTGTACGTGGCGTAGCCACCAACGATCTCGGTATATCGCGAGAGGGAAAACCCAAGGACTCTTTTGAACGAGGAATGGAATTTCATGCCCGTGTCACATTGCTTGGTGAAGGCTGCCACGGTAGCTTGTCAAAGCAGATTATCAAAAAGTACGATCTGAGACGGGACAGCCAGCATCAAACCTACGGCCTTGGAATCAAAGAGGTCTGGGAAGTGCAGCCCGAGAAGTTCAAGTCTGGTCGTGTCGTGCATTCTCTGGGTTACCCGCTTCCTAAGGATACCTATGGAGGAGGTTGGATGTACCATTTTGGCGACAACTTGGTCAGCATTGGCCTAGTGGTCGGGCTTGACTACCCCAATCCGTGGCTGGCGCCTTATGGTGAGTTCCAAAAGATGAAACACCACCCGTTATACAAGGATGTGTTGGAGGGTGGCAAGTGCATCTCCTACGGCGCAAGGACTCTGGTCGAGGGTGGTTTCCAGTCCATCCCCAAGCTTGCTTTCCCCGGTGGTGCCCTCCTTGGAGATGCAGCAGGCTTGGTCAACCTACCGAAAATCAAAGGCACACACAATGCGATGAGATCAGGTATGCTGGCCGCCGAGGCGACGTGGGACGCTCTTCAAGCCAACACAGACGGCGGGACTATATTCCTGTACGACTATGAAGACAAGATGCGCAAGTCACCAATTTGGTCAGAGTTGAAAACTGTGCGAAATATGCGGCCGTCTTTCCATACCCCTCTTGGTGTGTACGGAGGCATAGCGTACTCAGGATTGGAGGCATACGTCCTCCGAGGCAAAGCGCCTTGGACACTGAAACATGGGAAGCCTGATCATGCAGCGACAAAGCCTGCGGATGAGTACCAGAAGATCGAATACCCCAAGCCGGACGGCAAGATCAGCTTCGACATACTGACCAGTGTCAGCCGTAGCGGCACAAATCATGAGGAGGACCAGCCCTGCCATCTCCAGGTAAAGGATCTTGATGAGCATGCCAAGAGGGAGTGGCCCAAATACAAGGGTGTCGAAAACCGCTTCTGTCCCGCAGGTGTGTATGAGTATGTCGAGGATGCCAGCAAAGAGTTGGGCGTCCGGTTCCAAATCAACGCTCAGAAGTAAGTATCCAAAAAAGCTAGTCAAGATTGAGTGCATTCTGATTGACTGGTGTTAGCTGCGTTCACTGCAAGACTTGCGATATCAAAGTACCGGATCAGGATATCAACTGGCAAACACCCCAGGGCGGCGAAGGACCAAAGTACGTCCTGACTTAAGCACAGTCATCTGGTGAGCTCCACACCTATTCAACTTAGGCAGCTCGATGCGCAAAGTAAGACATCACCCGACATGTATATTAGGAGAGACCACATGTGTATGTATAAGTGGCCAGCCCAATTATTGTTGCTGCCCAAGCGAGGATTGCCGACTGCAACAGAGGCACATGAATGACATATTCTTGATTGCCAAGCATTTGGTATTGGTGAAGATGTGGTCGGGGTACGTGTTCAGTATGGCCCCTCAGCGTATGATAGCACATGCATTTGCGTGAGGTTGCGTCTAAGTGGTAGCCTCGGCAGGCAGGGCATCCATGGGCCTCAGAGAAAGCGGAATGCACGTGATGTCTGTGCTCTAGCTTAGCCAAGTAAGGCGGCGTTGGGCGAAGTTCGTCTCCGCGCCCTTCGTCACTCTCCACCCAACAACCACGCCGGGGCCTGTCACATCAACAGCAGCTCGGCCATCATCTCTGCTTGCACCCCGCTGCCGCGATACCGGGCATACTAATTTCTCTCCTCAGACCCGAGTGCGCGACATCTGCGCTCAGCCGGCTCCCTCCAGGCCCTTCACCACTAGGTCCTTCTACCACTGCCCTGCATCCAGCCTTCGCCACCCCCATCAATCTCCAAGGTACGACTAGCTACCTGCATTGCATTCTCTGGCCATTCCTCGCGCGTCTATCCTGGTCCTTGTAGTTGCGCGCATAGCTGGACGCTGGTTTCCTGGTGTCGCGTCTCTGAAACGGAGCCTCCCATGTCTAGCAGGCACGATGCGCACTCCTTCGCTGGCTATCCGCTTACTCATGGACATGTGCTCACCATTTTATCCAGACTAGGTTATCCTTAGGCCACAGTTCCACCATAACCCCCATCGCCATGACTGAGGTATCGTCCACGCGCCTATACCTAGGCAACCTTCCCCGTAATGCCACCAAGGCAGACGTCGAAGGCCACTTCCAGACGCATGGCACCGGTGAGATTACCGAGATCAAGTTGATGAACGGTTTCGGTTTCATCGAGTACAAGGACGCCATGGACGCTCGTGACGTCGTTCCTGGTAAGCTTGGCCCACCACCCATTAGACCGAAGAAGCGCTAATTTCTGTGTAGCTTTCCGTATGTAGTTTGTCGCGTTCAATTCCCCCAGACACGTCCTCCTAACTTTTTATAAGATGGTTCCGATTTCATGGGCGAGCGCCTCATTGTCCAATTCGCTCGTGGCTCGCGCGCCCGCAACGAGAACTTTACTCCCCACGAGCGCGTCCCACCACGTCCTAGACGTACGCCATACCGGATGAGAATAGCAAATCTTCCGGTGGAGACCAGCTGGCAGGTCAGACTCCCCGATCATTGGATTTCCCCAGTTTCCTGTTAGGGTCAGCGTACCGTTCCCGGACCAGTAATGGCTTTATTCTCGCGTGCTTCCCGTTATACATTCTGGATTTGGACCTCGCTTAACTTCGAATGTATAGGATCTGAAAGATTTTGCCCGCCAATCTGGATTGGACGTCGTCTACTCTGAAGTTGGTCGTGAACGCGATGGCACCGGGTGAGTGCGCTATAGTAAAGGGCTCCTGACGGCATGCTGACACTATTAAGATTTGTCGAATACGAGACGGCCGCCGATCTGAAGACTGCAGTGGAGAAACTGGACCGCCGTGAGTTCAAGGGGCAGGAGGTTACCTGCATCCAAGACGTCTCTGATCCTCCCCCACCTCCACCTTTTAAGCCTAGGGCTCCTTACGGAGGCCCTGGTGGTCCCGATGACCGGGGCCGAGACAGATATCGATCGCGCTCCCCTATGGGACGCCGCGGCTACCCACCTGCGCCGTACGACGACTACTATGACCGTCGCGGCCCCCCTCGTGGCTACAGCCCTCGACGCGACGACTACCGCCGGCGCACACCGCCCCGCGAGTTCTATGACAGGCGTGACGTCGGTTATGGACGTTCGCCGCCTCGTGGTCGCATGCCTGATGAGTATGGCCCACCGCGCGCGCGTTACCCTGACGATCCTTATGATGCTAGGGCCGGACCTCCACCTCGTCGCTACGACGACCCTTACATGAACGGCCACGGGCGCCCTTACGACGGAGGACGACCACCCTCCCCGCGTGGTGCTCGTCCCCGCAGCCCGGGAGGACGTCCACCCTACGATGCCCCACCGGCTGACTACCCACCCCGTGGCCGCTACTAGAATGGAAGAGCATGACTGGCAACGTATGTCGAACACCTCTGGCTCTGCCCTGGTGTCGTATTCTCGCGCATCTACTGACGTCCATGCAGTAGGCCTGTGTGGTGCCTAAAGTATCATTTCTTTTTTCTAAATTGACGCTCCGAGGCTTCCCACTGTGGACATGGATTATGCGAAAATGGAGCCTAAGGATATCCGGAGGTATGACTGCGCGACATGAGGCCAATGAGACTGATTATTACCTTTCCTACTCCGGGGCCTTGGATTCTTGATGTATCTTTACTATTCTGGCGCGGCATCATCCTGATGCGCTATCTGGCACGGGAGGTTTAGTTCCTTTTGAGATGGTCTCCATATGACTGTCATAGCTACTTGGAGGATGTCCTGGTTTCTGTATCATTGAAACAAACTTTTCTTGCACATATGGATGTCCTTTTGATCTCGTTCCAAATGAATAATGTGGCTTTTCAACATGTAAAGTATGCGTGGCCATGCCGCTACAGAGAAAAGAATTTTTTCAGTTTTGATATGCTGTTTGGATTTGGATCATCTCCTTTTGCTACTGAGACAAATCAGGACGAGACTACTTTTTCGGTTTCTTCTGAATTTCCAACATCTGTATGGTCTTGAGTTATTGGGCGTTGAACGAAAGAACAAATTTCTGAACAGATGGGTATGGAGTCCCAACCCCCATTTTTTTACATTGCATACTCTTCTATCTACAATTCCATCTCCTCCGTCTCACCATGTTCCACACCCATCTTCCTCCCACAATCCCCACATATGCTGAGTTTCGTATCTGGCTTCAGCTCCGCCGGCGACTTTGCCTGATATTCTCGTCCGCAGCACATACACCGTACATATTTCTCGCCCTTCTTACCTACACGACCTGACTCACGCGGCGTCGTTATGTTCCCATTACTTCCCTCCGACTCCCTTCCTTGCACCCTTTGCTGCTCCCTCTCCGCCGTAGCAGTATGCTCACACGGATGCCACCCCGCATGCCCCTTCTGTCCCCTCCCCGCCTCACACTTTGGCCGCAACGCCAACTCCATCTGCCTCAACCCCGCTCCTACCCTCGCCTCCTCCCTCCCTTTCTTCTTCTCCACCCGTCCTTCCATCGTCGAAGTAGTAAAGTCACTCTTCGCTTCCCGCCTCCGCTCGCTCCTCCGCACGGGATTCCACGATGAGAGACTGGCGGGCCGTGGATGCGGTGGTAGCCGGTCGTCGCTGTGCACGGGGATGTAGCTCGGCATCGGGTCAGGGCGTGTGAGTTCGCCGTTGGGGAGGAAACGGGGTTCGGATGTGTAGGCTAGGCGGGCGGCTAGGCTGGCGAAGAAGGGGTGTGGGGGTGTGGGGGTGAGGTTGTAGTGGGGAGGTGAAGGGAGTTGGGGTTGTGTGGGTTGGGGTCTAGGTGTTGGTGGGCATTTTGGTGGTTTGGAGATGGGTTGGGGGGTGTGGAAGGGCATTTTTTGTTTTTGCGGTTTGGATTTGGATGTTTGGATGGTGAGTTGTTTGGAGTGGAGTGTGATTTGGTAGTTGGGTGGTTGGGTGGTGAGGGTGAGGGTGGTGTTTTGTTGTTTGGGAATGGAGACTTGTGGTTTGTGAGGGATAGTGAGAGTTAAGGGGGGGGATAGCGAGTAGTTATAGCCAGAGCAACATGAGTTTGTGCGAATAAGGGTGACATTTTGTGAGGCTAGGAGGCTTTGTAACCAGAGTTGGAGGATTTTGCTGCGGTCCAATGGCCACACGCCCATTGAATGTGTCACTGTTGTTATAGTGGTTCTGGGTGTTGGTCGTCTCTCAGGTTTGCGACGAACCTCTTTAGATTGCTGTTATTATTTGAATTTCTAATTTTGGTCATGTATACCATGGTTTCTCTTTTTTGATAGTTTACAGGTCGAGGAGTAATTGTCTGCTTCTCAGTAGGAAATCCAATAGCTGAGTGCAAAACCATAAAACATAAGCATCGAGAAATCTGTCAAGCTATTGACAACCAGACAGTTGGCTTTGCGTGTGAGAAAATCAGATAGCTGCTCTGCTTTTCACTCGTTTCCATGGCCGAGACTGGTTTTCCGAAGACCATGGGAGTCAGATCATGTAGGTCTTGTCTCATAATCAAAAGATGACAAATTCAAACAAAAGTAACATCGCAGCTCAAGTATACCCTGGAAAATATCCAACAGATCAAAGGTAGTAGAATGATACAAAAAGTAAGAGATAACAATATTGTATTTTGTTAAAACTAGAGCTGATCTATACAACACCTATCTTGCCATGTCTTCAATAGATCACGTCACATCACCCAAAGTTTTAAATTATGTAACCCAGGCCACGCTGCCCAGTGACAGGAGTAACATGCCAAAATCCAACCCCTAGTGGTGCATGTTCTAGAAGTCAAATCGAATCATATTGTTTCATAAATACGCCTGTTTTTGCCTTTTGTTATTCTTGTAACTCCTATCACGCGTGTATCAGTCCTAGCGAAAATCGCAAATATATTTTGTTGTGAACAATGGCCCTTGATGTTGTGGAGCAAGCGGCGGCGATATCCTATCGGACTATGGTCCACTCGTCATCAGAAGTATAGTCAGTACCGGTGGCGGCCAGAATATCAACAATAGGTGTAGGAACCAACTCCGGACTGGACATTAGCTCGTCGGAAGTAGTAGGAGTATGTAAATCGGACGAAGACACCACCGTGTAATCCTCGTCCTCATCGGAATATAGGGTCTCGACACCTTCCATCACGTCCGGTTGTGGAATCTTTGGTCGATGAACAAGAGTGGTGGTAACGGAGTCCATCATGTTCCTCGTATCTTCTCTTTCGTTTGTTCCGCTTGCAAGAGCGGGAACAACAAGGGTCGTGTTCTCACTCTCTGACTCATCTGAAATGATGGTATCTTCTCCGCAAATTGTCTCTGATAACAAGTCTTTTGAGGCAGTCGGGATGGGTTGGGTGCAGGATTGGACGCCAAGAGTGTCGAGACACAACCGTATGATGTGGAAGGCGCCTTTTAAAGTTAGTACAATTTCAGCAGCTATGTCAAAAATATCTCAGACTTACAATCGTCTTCAAAATTGCGCTCCATGTTTGTAGAACAAAGGTCTTGACAAAACTCTGGAATATCGGTCGCGAGTTTAATAAAGTCCGCATCCTCCCCAAGATTGTAATACATGAACCTCGAGATAATGTAGTTGAGGAGCGTACCAACAAGGTCGTGCTGTGGACGCGCTAGGCTGCTATAGTAGTGCTGGTATACGAAACGAATAGTCTCGAGCAAATCTTGTGGCGGGAAGGGTACGCAGCATGCGAATTCGATTTGGCAGGAGAAGTTGCCATGGGCGAGGAGCTGCAGTTCGGGAATATCAAAGTCTTTGGCCATCTTGTAAACTTCGACGTGTGGAAGCAACAAGGGGTGTCCGCCATGTTCAGTGGGTGGGAGGTAGCTACCCGTGTAGCAGTAGCGGAGTAGCGAGATAAGCCCATTTGTGGATGGAACGTCGATGCTGGCCTGAAGACTACCATTCGGGCCGTACTCGAATGCGTGGTACAGCAATGGGCAGCTGTCCAGGAACATGTATGGGCAGATACGACACGAAACCAGACGAACCTCTCCGTGTGGAAGTACAGCTTTGAGGGTTGCGTTGCCCTGGTCGGACATGTCCAAGAATGAGAGGTCGTCCATGTTGATGCGGCAGGCCAGAGGCCGTCAAGTGTCTCGTGGTAAACGTCCAGTATTGTAGTGTGTTGTGAATATCACGTCGAGTCAGCGAGGATGTTGAGCAGGCTGTAGCAGTGAGAACAGCCGCCTAGTCTGTGAAGATGGGCAAAGTATGGTATGTGATGCTTTGAGAGGGTCCACAGGGAAGTCAACAATCTGGGAGCCTCCGCTATAGTCTGACAGGCATAGCCTCGTGGTTGACAATGACGGGCAGGAAACAGAATCAGGCAGCCATTTGCATACACAGGGAGCCACACACGTGTCCCATGGAAGCCTACCGCGTGTCCGAGGTCGATTGTAGTTGGAATATAGGTGACAATAATTCAATAATGATACAAGGAACGGTCCTCGACAAGAGGCACTGCATATGAGTAAGATCCAAGTGCCGTCACCGTGGAGGGGCATTTAAGCCTCGAGCAGCGCCCTTTGGAGGGTGGTTGTACTGCATGCCGAACATGTGCCTATTGGCTGTAGGAGGGCAGTGCCAAGAGATCCGGTCAACCAGTCGTGGAGCGATGATACAAGTGTGCATCCAAGGCTGAGGCTTCTGTCAGCTGCATCCAGCGTAGAGAACCAGTGGTGAGTGTTGAGGGGTGGATGGATGATCCTGGCCCCTTCGACCAGGATGCAGCCGGGGAAGAGCACCAGCCACGACCCGCCTGTCTCCACAGCTGTGGCGTTGCCCGGCACCTATCCGCAGCCCCTCGGCCAGATTTCCCCATCATTATACATACTTACGTACGTACAGACACACATCCTCGTGAGTGTCGCTAGGTGTCGTGGACGTGCAACCCTCCTCGTACCCATTAATCCTGCTTTTGGAGCCTCCTATTCTTCCGCACTCAGCACGCCGGTTGCTCGTTTGCAGTCGCGTGTGCAAGCTTCCGTCTCGTGCCGGCATGGGCCTCTTCTCAATTCTGCCTGAGAGCTTCGCGGTGGTGGAGACGTGGATTACGCGCATATTCGTGAGTACTGTCGAGTGCCTGTAACCGCGATCCGGGTTTCTTACTAGCCCTAGCTTTTCCTCGGCCTTATAGCCATTGCCCCGTGGGCCGTGCTGCTCGTCTACGACATACTCTTATACGTCTTCCGCGCCGGTGCGCACGAGATACCCGTCGTGGGTGGACGCGCCCGGGGAAAGTCTAGGCCCCGTGCTCCCAGTCTTACAGAACGGCCAAGCGGTCGCCGTCGCAAGTTTAGTCTCCGTGGCTTCGAGAAACCGGTGCTGAATACAGGGGGTACAAATGCCGACTCGCACGACGCTCGATCCCGTCGCATAACAGAGGAGACAACGGAGGATTCGTCGTCATAGGTTACTTGGAGCCAGGCCTGCAATTGAATATTCACAATTTGAGCTACGTCCGCGAGACCGTGTGTAAGAGTTGGACTTGAGAGGGCATGTGCTGTACAAGTACCTTGATGCTGTCTCAAGAGATTCACCATTTCTCGGGGAAAACATGGAGAGAAATCCCGCATACTGAAACTATGTCGTGGGATGGAAATCAGCGCATGGCATTACTCGTATCTGGAAACTGCAAAATGAGGCCTTGCATATATATATATATATAGCGACTCATGGATTTGCGGATCCGGCAAAAGACGGATTCAGGCAGTTGTGCCATGTCAAACCTGAATCGCTCGAGATGACAGCAGGGGTGGGCCGCTTAAGGTCAAGAGGCCGTCGATATTGTTGGAGAGCAACTATTAACAAGCGCCATGTGGAATGGGAGTCGTGTCTTCGAGCATAATCATGCGCTCTTGTGCCGTTGTGTCTCGCTTGTGCCCAAAGTGTCTGGGGCATATATTACCAAGAGTTTCAGATAACAATATGCGCCAATCACGTCTGGCCATTCACGAGGGCCGGCGCATGTATCAGAATAGGCTATGGAGATCATAGAGTAGGTATGTGATGAGCTAAGCCTGGTTTAGCGTGTTCCGGGGCCGTGCCTGCTCTCAATGAACCTTCACTTCACCTTCCCACCTCTTCACTGTCACAACAACAACAACAATTGTCACTCGCAGTCTCGTTCGATCCTCCAGATCTCATCAACTCCACACATCTTACGTCTTTCATAAATCTCAATTAGCATCAACTACCTCACAATGGCTGTTACTACTACTACTACCACCACTACCAAGACGGCGACACCAAAGACGGCAAGCGCCGCCGGTGTCAAGAAGACTGCTCCCAAGGGTGGTCGCGCGGGAAAGAAGAACAACGCCAGAAACGCCATGGCTAAGATGCAAGCATACTGTAAGTATTTCACCGTTTGACGCGCTTTATCGCGTTATTCAGACGCGACTGTCGTTTTGTCGCCACGCAAGACGGGCGTTGTTAGGGGTTAAGGTTTGCTGACCAACAACACACAGTCAAGGCTCACCGCGACGAGTACAAGGACTTGTCTTTCAAGGAGCAACAGCAAGAGCTCGGCAAGAAGGTACGTTTTATCCAATCCATTTCAGTCATTTCATGGCTGCGACATGTATTGCGCCATGACGTTGTGTAACCCTTGCTGACATCTGGGCAGTGGAAAGCTTCTCCTGAAAACCCCAAGAACAGCGCTTGAGCGGACTGCGAATTGCTTTCTTTGAAATGAATGGGTGGTTTTCTTTTTTTCTTCATCTGTTTTCTTTTATTCTGGTCATGTTTCGACAGTGTGTTTTTTGCAAATTTACCGACGAAAGGCAAACTCCGGGGTGCTAGAGCGTAGTGAGATACTGCGACTGGGGTTATAGTAACCATGTGCTTTAACAGTAATATGGAGTAATTTATTCAAACTGATTGCTGCTCTGTATCAACGTGTATTACTAGGCGAATTCCGGTGGATGTGTGGCAATTGCCGGTTAGTCGCGTAGCTGATGCAAGCACGAAAATCTGTAGATGAAAGCTAACTATTGACAACTAAGCATTTGAGCCCATGTACAAAAAATTATGTCTATGCAGACGTGAGAGGCCAATGGTACACAGACTGTAGGACCCTGGTTGCACGGCCGAAGGGGGGCATGTTCACAAAGCCTTGGCAAGGCTACCT